ACCTTGTCGAATGTTTTTTCAGAATAAAGTAGTGATGACATTACTGTGAACCTAGGAATGGTCATTAACGGGACCCTACTGGTAAACCAGGTAAGTGATACAGGGGAGCCTGCACCACAGTATAAGCAATCTGGTCTTCAGATGTCTAGGCAAGTGAGGATGATGTCCTAAACCCGAAACACAGTGTTACCCTCTTTTTCCTTCAGATATCCTGTTGAAGTGCTTGCCACTGTAAAGGTATGAGATGTTACATTAATTCATTAGATCTTCATATTTTCAAATACATATGTAATTATTGATATTTTGAAGACTCTTTATATCTTAACTTACAGTTAACTACATTAACTATATTTTTGGCTTGTACACCATAACGATGTTAATCTGTCCCTAATACTAGTAAGCTTGATATTTTACTATATTCATGTTCTGAAATACCATTTTATACACTCCTGCTCATAAGAGGATATGCAGATATCCAGGTAATTTATCATATTGTTCATCACCACAATATTGACCATGGCACTTTGAGATGTCTCTTCAAGAGAAGAAGGTATATCTTACTAGGGTTTAGTCTTAAACTTCTGCAAGTTTACAGATAATGGTGATGAGCCTCAAAATTTGCAGTTGACCAAGGGAATGTGCAGGTGTACACTAGAATATGTATATCCAACACATTCTCTCTGAATATGTTTTCAGGTTCATGTTAGGACATTGTGGTGAGCCTATCAGTACTTAACGTGGGACATTGCTGGTGTCTAGGTAAGTGATGACGTGGGCCTGAACCACATCATTCACCATCTGTTCTTCATGTACGTAGGTAGGTGATGATGGTGTTCCTAATACTTCTTGTTAGCATGATTTTGTTGCAGGTATTCAGGTAAGAAATGATAAGAGCCCTTACTAATTCTAGTAACCATAAGTTCACATTTTTTATACTTTAGAGATGACTGATATTTAACCCTATGAGTGTTATAGGTTGATCATAGTCTGGTAAGTGTCATGGAGTTCCCACCACTGTAGTAACCATAGGATTTTTGCAGGTGTCTGGTTAAGATATGAAGGTCTCTTCTGACAATGATGTTGACCTGAATTAATGCAAGTACCCAGGTAGAGTTGATGGGTTCCATAATAAAGTAGATAAACAAGGTTAGTTGCAGGTGTCCTGGTAGAAAAAGTTGTATCTTTAAACACATTTGTTGAATGTGTTTTTTCAGATTCCTGTCAAGAAAACATGGTGAACCTCATAATGGTTGTAAACAGATCTTTGCTTTCAACCGGGTAACTGATAAAGAGGGTCCTCCCACAATGAAGACCCACTGATCTTCAATATGAAGGTGAGTAAGGATGGTGTCCCAAACACTCGTGTTATTATATTTGTTTGAAGATATCCTTTTAAGGTCTTTACTAGTATGCAGGTATAAAATGATAGGACATTAACTCATTAAAAATATTCTCATTTTTAGGTATCTAAGTAGTTATTATTTAAGACTCTTATATTTACCTTGTTCTTGCATGTGTGCAGTTGAGAAATTGATTTGACCCTAATTATATTAGTATGATGAGTTTTTTTCTATTCTTATTAGAGATCATATGTATTTAATACTTGTAGTGATGGACAGTTATGCAGGTATCCAGGTAATTTATCATACTGTCATCACTGAGTTACTGACCATGGGAATTGTTTCAGGTATCCTTTCAAGAAAAGAAGGTGTCTTTTCCCAGGAGTTGACCTTCAACTCTTACAACTAGCCAGGCAGCGTGGATGGGTACCAAAATGGTACAAGTGACCAAGGAAACTTACAGCTGTAGAGGCAGAATGATTTATGTACCAAAAACATTTTCCACAGTGTGTTTTCAGATTCATGTCAAGACATCATGGTGAGCCTATTAATGGTAGTTAATGTGGGCATGGCTGATATGGAAAGAAGTGATGACATGGGCCTAAACAGCAGTACATTCTATCTGACTGTCGTATATCCATGTAAGTGAGGATGTGTCCTCCTACTTTTTGTTACCATGATTTTTTCAAGGTATTGAGATAAGAAATGATAGTCTTTACCAATTCT